TCTTAGCAATGGCCAAAGTGGACATCTATAACACCAGGGAGAGGATGTTGGCTGAGAGGGTTCTTTGCAACTGTGGGGCCTACTTCCATTCCTCTCTCCACTCACGTATCCGGGCAGAGTTCCTCTGGGCAGCGTCCGCTGGCTCCCTTGACACCTTTGAGGAGCAGTGAGTGCTGGCCGGGGTTCTCTGCTCAGTGTCCCCTTCAGGTTAACTACTTTTGACCCTTTGACCCACATTCATCCTTTTTTTTTTTTTCAGTTGCCCCTGTAATTATTTGAGGCTCAGGCTTAGTGGATCCTCAGAGGCTGTGGCCGCTCACCTCCCAGAACCCAATATGAGGACCCTCTTGCAGCCATCCAGCCTGACTTTGTCACACCAGCTATAATTGCACCAATACCAAATAATATAAGCTTCCAACTCCTATTCAATATCCCCATTTACACATGCAGGAATTACATTAGCCCTTTGGCCACAGAATTGCACTAGGAGCTCAAACTCAGCTAATTACCTACCATGACTCCAAAGTCCTTTTCAGAGTCACAGTTTCCCAGGACAGAGTCCCCAGTCCTGTAAGTATGGCCTGCAATCTTTGTTCCTGGATGGATGTCTTTACATTTAGCCTTACTAAAAATGCATATTTTCTTGCATCCAGCCTGCCAAGCAATTCATAGATTTGTAAATTCCAAGGCCAGAAGGGAGCATTATGATCACAGTAATGAACATTAGAAAACATAATCCAAACTATACATATAAAATGATGGGGTCAAAATTAGTTGTTATCACTCAAGAAAGATCTTAGAGTCATTGTGGATAGTTCTCTGAAAACATCCACTCAGTGTGCAGCAGCAGTCAAAAAAAGGTAACAATGTTAAGAAAGGGATAGATAAAAAGACAGAAAATATCATTCTCTCTATATAACTCCATGGTACGCCCACATCTTGAATACTGCGTGCACCAAAAAAGATATACTGGAATTGGAAAAGGTACAGAAAAATGGAACAAAAATGATTAGGGATATGGAAAAGCTTCCATATGAGGAGAGGTTAATAAGACTGGGACTTTTCAGCTTGGATGAGAGATGACTAAGGGGGGATATGATTGAGGTCTAAAATCATGACTGATATGGATAAAGTAAATAAGGAAGTGTTATTTACTCCTTCTCATAACACAGGAACTAGGGGACACCAAATACAAGTAATAGGCAGCAGTTTTAAAACAAACAAAACTAAGTATTTCTTCATATAATGCACAGTCAACCTGTGGAACTCTTTGCCAGAGGATGTTGTGAAGGCCAAGACACTAACAGGGTTCAAAAAAGAACTAGATAAATTCATGGAAGATAGCTCCATCAATGGCTATTAGCAAGGATGGACAGGGATGGTGTCCCTAGTCTTTGTTTGCCAGAAGCTGGGAATGGGCAACTGGGGATGGATCACTTGATGATTACCTGTTCTGTTCATTCCCTGTGGCGCACCTGACATTGGCCACTGTCGGAAGACAGGATACTGGGCTAGATAGACCTTTGGTCTGACCCAGTATGGCCGTTCTTATGTTCTTATCTAATCTGACCTCCTGTGTAATAGAAGCTATAGAACTTCCCTAGAAGAACTGGTAAAGCTTATATTTTAGGAAAACATCCAATCTTGATTTAAAAATTGCCAATGATAGCAAATCCACCACTAAGCTTGATAAGGCACGTTTCAGTATATCAGTGACCTGTTGTCTTCATTATTTACCACTCCCCCAATCTTTGTGTCATCTTCAAATGATTTTATATTGTCTTCAAGGTCACAGGTTGAACATGGGCATTAGCTGAACGAAATTCCTCACATTTTCTTATCAACCCTGATTGGAAGGAACCACTTTCTAGAGAGAAAACAAAACTAGTCTCCATATTTATTCAATTCAAACTTTGGTCTCTCTGCCGAGATTGCTACTGTTTTCATTAGATATACACTATTAGTTCAACCTGCTAGGCTAACAAAGCTTACATTCATCATAGAACAATTAACTAATAGGATTAATTTTTGAATTCTAGTGAAAAAGCAGACTCCCATTGCCAATTTACCATGTTTTGGACTCTCCCATAGCTAAACCCAGTCCCTGGGATATTATTCTTGAATGGAAAGCCACAGACAGTGTGAAGGGAATTCATTTTGAGTAAGTCACAAAACAATTAACTATGAACTAACTTGAGACTATTAAGTAAGACTAATTTTTAATTAGGAAATATATTTTAAAAACTCTTGCAACTGGAAATTTTAAAAGGGTATCAATCACGGGGGCAAATCCAGACCTAATTATAGGTTTGGGATATATGTTCGCATAGTAAAAGCAATATTACTGCATGCCTATGTACTTACCCATGTGATGTCCCCAATGCAGTTCATTTTTGTCCTTGGTAAGAACAATCTCCACAAAGAGGTCAGATCCAAAGCTCTCTGAAATCAAAGGGAATCTTTCCATTGACTTCGGTGGACTTTGGATTGCGCCCAAGAAATGGGACAGCTGAGCAGACCAGACTCCCTGACACCAAACTCCTCATAGATCTGGTCTGGATGGACCTGCACTCTGGGGGGTCTGGGTATGTCCCAGGCTTGGCTGCCTATTTTCCCATACATGAATGCACCGAAACAGTAATTTGAATTTTGCTCAGGGTAAAGAATAATGAATCTATTAAAACTGCAAACACAAGAGATTGTGTATATCCTAAAAACGCTCAGGCATAGGATATCAAAATACATGTGCATGTTAGGACACAGAAGACTTGGAAGCATTAATTTTGAAGACCAGCTCTATTTCTAGATCCTTCAATTCAGATGCTATTTTATGAAAGAAATCTAAAAATCAGCTAACCTCAAACAAAATTTCATTTTTTTAAAATTCATGTACACTTAGCTCAGCGAAGCACAAAACAGCTATTGCTGTCACATGTGAGAGGCTTTTATGCAGGATTTGACACAATAGGAATCACAAGGCAGACAAAGATTTGACAGACAAAAATTTGACATCCAAAGACCGGAGGGGGGAGGGGCGGGGAAGGAGAGAGAGGGGGAAGGGAACAGAATGACCCTCTCTCACCCAGAGGTGAATTTCCTTTCACTTGTAGGAAGGAGGACAAGCAAAACCAAACAAATGAAAGTAGACTAAGGTGATTTGCACTGCCTGAGGCTGTAATGCCTCAGGCAATTATATCAGCATGTGGGGAGCGCAAAGTAAAACAAGGCCCAACTGCAGGTTTGATGATCTGACAGATTTTCATAAAGAAACTATAACATATTTCATAACATTTGTAGATACGGGGTCAAGATGCAAAATTTAGTTCCAGGTCTGGACACTGAATGCTCCAAATTTCAGGGTTATTCAAGATCCAGGTTTTGATTCTCAACTAGCAATAGTGGATTTGTTTCTCTTTTTTGTTTTATTGAAGGAATGGATGAGATTATTAGATGTTCTCTATTCTTGGGGAGGAGGTGGTGAGGAACATTGGAAATTTTACCCCAAAAAGAGAGAGACAAAGGTCTCATGTTTCATCCTGATTTGGAACATAGGAACAATCTGAAATATCAAAAATGATTGCAGGGCAGAAACAGTTTTCTCATCAAGTTCTATTTATACATAAGTATATGCACAAACACCTATAGGTACATATATTTTGTAATTTTCATATAGATATTACAGTTTTGCAATTACCAGTTTGAGTTAAAGATTTATATTCTAAGGGCAGAGTCCTGTAAAGGAAGTATTTAAATTAAATTTTGTATTAAGATATGTAAACTTCTTATAAAGGTAATTCTTGTAAGTCTAATAGCAGGAGGTGCTTGTGAGAAATGCTTGTAAGAAATGAAAAATGTGGCACTCTATTTGTAAAATAGCTGTTTCCATTAGTCTTTAGTGCCTACGTACTTTGTATTTGAGGTGGAGAATGTTAAAAAAAAATTACTTAAGAACTTGTTCACACAATTTGTTCAACTAACGTTTCCCTCCTCCCTTACACCTTTGCAGTTAGGAAACTTACTTTGATGCTTATTTGTAAGCCAAACACTGGTCAGAAGCCAGCATTCTATCTCCAGAAAGAGACAATGACAAATGTGTCTCCTCTCTGCTGAATGACAGTAGTGTACATAATCTCTAATTCTTTCCAATACATTAGTGAGTGATTGCCTTTATTTATAATAATCCATCCATCTCAGGCAATGACCCTTAATCTCAGATGAGAAAACTTAACCTAGCCCTAAACCAAACAAGAAAATGAAGGATTTCTGGTGTTTTCTTACTTCCACAGGGCAAATTAAAGTCCAGTGTTTATATACTTCAAAAGTGCAGGATGGGAGAGATTGATTAAAAACAATGGATGTTAATGTTAGTTAGACTGACATTTCTGGAAAGTGAAATCTTCTATTTATGTGGATCAGGACAATTTAAAAGGTGTGTGTGTGTGTGTGTGTGTGTGTGTTGGGGGTGAGGGGAAGCACTAAGCTTTTACCAGAAAGCTAGATATTATTAGTTTGAGCAGATGTTCTCTATATTTATTTCTGGGAATATCGCTAGAACCAGCCATGGCCTACCCTACCCTCAAATATACATCTAAAAGACTTAAAAACAACAACAACAACAAAACCACTTTGCCTACGGTCCCAAAAGAACAGGTACAACTAGTTAGCAGCAGTTCAAAGAGTGACTGGTGAAAGAGCATTCTCCAGTATCACCCAACCCTTGGTCTCTCTGCTAATTAGGGCCTATTGTGGTCGGGAGATTTATGTGATGTCATTTTTAGACTTTAGAAGCCAATAGAATTTTTTTTTATTAGCAGGAGTGGAGGGAGTATTTGGGCTGGGGAATCACCTGGTTTGTGGCTACATTTTTTGGTCCGAGTTACCCAATCTTGAAAGTATTTTTTCATCAGTCAGCTACTGAAATAAGTAGAAATGTTTTCATCAGACATTTCAATATTTTGATTTTTCATCTTCAATACAAATTCTCTATCTTCAATAATAACCTTAAGTTCGGTGTTCTGCTTTTTCAGAGCTTCCACAGTGTACGAAATCTCCTTCCATGACGCAAGCTTGACTTTGGCCCGTTCTAGAACCTGCTCAGCTTCTTGTTTGGCTTCCAACCATTGTGTTGAATCCTTTAACATTTCATGTAGCTGCTGCCTGCGGCTTTGAAGGTGTCCCTGTACTTCGTCCCACTGGCTCTGGATCTTTTCAACTGGTGAAAAACAAATGCAAACAAAAAAAATGACATTCAAGATGAAGGGGTTTTTTTTTTTAAAAAGCAGTTATTGAAATATTTAAGTAACATTTCTCATTGCAAACAACAATTTTCAGCTGTAACTAAATTTGGTTTATTAAAAGAGAACAAATAACGGTTGGTAGGGCACAGTATGGTACACAGCGTGGGTCCTGATGCATATGTAGCCAGAAATTACAGCTTTTTGTCTCAATAATGATGTAAAGAATACTCAAACAGGGTCACATTGATGAGAAAGAAACAGTTCTCATTCATTCATACCAAGCCAAATCAAGCTAGCATTTTTGATGAGATGTCCTATGGGGACTTCTATAATCTTGTCCTTCATTTTAAGATTCATTACAAGTGGTAATCAATGGTTATGTTATACTTTCTTGACCAGGTAAGACAAACACTGATCGAGTGCATGGCTGTTCACAAAAAACCTTTTCACATCTTCATGTTAGTTATTAGAATAAGGATTAGATGTGCCCTTGTTTGGGGGGAAATGTAGTTTTGAAAGGGCTAATGATAATTGGAAGCTCTGATAATGAGGTTTGCCCAAGGCCAGACTGGCCCACAAAGGCACAAGGAAATTTCCTCTTGATGTGACACGGAGACCTAACCCTAAAACATGCAAAGCTTTGAAAACAAAATTGTGCTGTGCTTTCTTAATAAGAAATCTGTATTGCTTAAAACTAGCACAGAGCCAGGCCTCTTGGTATTTTTCCCAAAGGCTGCCCCCATTATATTTAAAAGTCAGAGGCCACCTTCTCTTGGTGGGTTGAGAATTTCCTGAATGGTCTGAAGGCAAAGGCACCATCAGATGGAGGAAGTTTCCAGCAGAACACCCATGATAGGGTTGATTCCACAATGGCATTGCCTCTCTGGGCTAGAGGAGAGCAATGCCCCATCACAAACATGTAAAGTGAAAATCCTCCCAGGGTGCCTCTCCTTTAGCCTGGAAGAAGGGTTGTAGATCCTCCTGTGAATTCCTCCAGGCTTGGAGAAGGGGAAGAAAATCCTCCCAGCATTTCTTGCTCCAGCCTGGAGGAGAAGACAGAAAATGAGTGGATGTGGGAAAAGGAATGACTGAGTACATGAGAGGGAGGAAGTAGGGGAAGGTAATGTAAATAACAAAATAGAATCCAAAAGAAACCAGGTACAACCAGAGGATGAACCAAGAATGGGCCAAGGCTGGGAGGACAGGGGAAAGGCAGTAACTTTCCAAGCAGCCAAGATTTGGAGCATATTAAACTGTCCAACTTGAAATGAAGAGTATTTAAAAGCTATGCCGCATTTGGGTTGCTACCTACAGGCAGGGCCGGCTCCAGCATTTCTGCCGCCCCAAGGAAAAAAAAAGCCGCAATCGCGATCGGCGGTGGCAATTGGAAAAAAAAAAAAAAGCCGTGATCGGCGGCGGCAGTTCAGCGGCAGGTCCTTTGCTCCTAGAGGGAGCGAGGGACCTGCCGCCCCCGAATTGCCTGAGGTACCACCCCTCGCCCTTGGCCGCCCCAAGCACCTGCTTGTTAAGCTGGTGCCTGGAGCCGGCCCTGCCTACAGGTAAGAAGAACGAGGAGTCCTTGTGGCACCTTAGAGACTAACAGATTTATTTGAGCATAAGCTTTTGTGGGTTAAAACCCACTTCATTGGA